CTCTCTCTCTCTCTCTCTCTCTCTCTCTCTCTCTCTCTCTCTCTCTCTCTCTCTCTCTCTCTCTCTCTCTCTCTCTCTCTCTCTCTCTCTCTCTCACTCACACACACACACACACACGCACACACACACACACAATCCGTGGGCATTAGCGACAACAGTTCATCGCGCCGTCAGATTCGAACGATCTACGGCCAAAATAGACTAATCGAGATCTGAAGTTGTTGAATGAAGTCCGTGGATACGATGACCTCCGGCGGCCTTTGACGTGAAAAGCAGAAGATGAGAGTAAAGACAGGACAGAAAGAATCCTGGCAGCGGAGGAACGAAGGAGAGGCCGTTAGAGCATGCTGGTTATCACGAGTACGCAGAGGAGAGGAACAGACGGAAGAAGTGAGCAGGAGCAATGGGAGAGGGACTGGAGGGGCACGAAGAAGGGAAGAGAGAGGAAGAGAACGGAGGAGAGGGGAAGGAGGAGGCGTAAGAAGAGAGGAGGAAGGGGAGGAAGAGAAGGGATCGAAGGAGATGAACGGAGAGGAAAAGGGACAAAGGGAGAGGGAGGGACCGGAAGGAAGAGGCTGGGAGAGAAAGCAAAGGACAGAGAGCAGCCAGAGGAAGGGGAAGGATGTGGGATAAAGGGAGAGGAGCGCAAAGGGAGGAAAAGAGATTTTTAAGATCCGAGAGCGACCATAGAGATGACTACGAGGCAGACAGACGGGACCGCGAAGCCTCGTTATCATAAATGACGTGGAGATGTCGACGCAATGCAGATAAGAGGAGGGAGAGGGAGGAAGGAATGACGAGGGGATAAAAATCAGTAGAAGAGAGTCGAGCAAACAGCGGCAAGAATCGCTTGATGAACCCGGTAAAGACGTAAGGAAACAAAAAGGCCTTCGCTTGCAAAAACTACCGTAAGGATCCGGCGGTGTGTAGTTGATCGATCGACTTCCGACCTGAAAGAAGTGCACGCAATATGAGCTGCTGTCGGCTTCTTACCCATCGTTGAGAGCGAGCAACGCGGGAACCCAGAGTCGCAAGCTCGCGCGATTACAAAGTGTCTGATTACTCATGGTTCCGAACATTCTCGCCCACTGGTATGGCATGGAAGTTGCTTCACTTTTCATGGCCTCCAGCGCTCTCTCTCTCTCTCTCTCTCTCTCTCTCTCTCTCTCTCTCTCTCTCTCTCTCTCTCTCTCTCTCTCT